TCTGTTTCTCCCACCAAAGTGGAAACATCACACTTATCCACATTAAATTCCATCTGTCATGACCTTGCACACTCACTCAACGCCTCCAAATCCCCTTGAAATCTCTTTGCATCTTTCTCACCACATAAATATCTGCCAAGTTTCATTTCGAGCAACATGGTGGCTCAGTGGTTAGCACTGCTGCCTCACAGCACCAAGGACCCAGATTTGATTTGGATGATTCTCTGTGTGGAGTTTACACAAATCCCTGTGTCTGTGTGAGTTTCTGCCAAGTGCTTCGGTTTCTTCCATAGTCCAAAGATGTGCAGGTTAGGCTGAGCAGCCACGCTAAATTGTCCAATAAAAACTGAAAAGACTGCGGATGCTGTAAATCAAAGACAAAAATACAAACTGCTGGAAAAGTTCAGCAGGTCTGAGGAAGTGTCACTCAACTCAAAACGTTAACTCTGATTTCTCTCCACATGTGCTGTCAGATCTGCTTGAGCTTTTCCAGCAATTTGTATTTTTGTCCATGCTAAATTGTCCAATAGTATAGGTTAGGCGGATTAGCCATGGTAAATGTATGGTTATGGAGATAGGGTAGGGGGTGGGATCACTTCGGAGGATCAATGCAAACATGATGGGCTGAATGTTCTCTTTCCGAACTGTAGGTGTTCTACATCATCTACAAAATTGCAAATATTACACTTCAACCCCACATCTAAATTATTGATACAGTTTGTGATCAACTGTCGTGCTTCTATCCCTCTTTCCTGCTCTAACCAAAAACAAGGGAGAGACAAGGTTCTGAGGAGATAGAATATTATGAGAGAAAGATCGGCAGCAAGAGTTCCAATGGGTAAAGGAACGCAAGCCTAAACTGTTTCTGGAAACTGTTGCTGGCGAGTAACAGGTAAGTTTTGAGAAATTGTTATCGGAGGAGAAAGCACCAGAAGCTTCAACTTAGTATTGTGCAAGAAGTGTCTCCAGCTGCAGCTCCTGGAAAACCAGGTTTCAGAGTTGAAGCAGCGTCTGGGGACACAGCAGAGCATTCGCAAGGTGGAGAGTGTCATGGATAGCACATATAGAGATGTGATCACACCACACACTCAGACTCCGCAAGCAGGAAAGGAATAAGTGACCATCAGGCAGAGCAGGAGGGCTAAGTAGGCAGTGCAGGAATCTCCTGTGGCTACTCCCCTGCAAAACAGATATACTGTTTTGGATATGTTGAAGAAGAATGGCCTCTCAGGGGATAACAGCAGCAGCCAAATTCATGGCACCATGATTGGCTCTGCTGCAGAGGGAGGGAGAGATAGTATTTCTATGCCTATAGTTAGACGGAATTCAATCGTAAGGGGAATAGATAGGCATTTCTGTGGCCGCAAATGAGAATCCAGGATGGTGTGTTGCCTCCCTGGTGCTAGGATTCTGAACTTTTCAGTAGCTACAGGACATTCTGGAGGGGAAGAGTGATCACCCAGTGGTTGTGGTACACATTGGTACTAACGACATAGCTAAAAAACAGGATGAGGTCCGGAAAGCAAAATAGAGAGAACTAGGAAGAAAGTTGAAATGCAGGACATCAAAGATAGTTATATCAGGATTACAACTAGTGCCACAAGCTAGTCAGAGTAGAAACAGCAGGATATATAGGATGAACTCGTGGCTGAAAAGATGGTGTGAGGGCGAGTGTTTCAGATTCGTGGGGCATTGGGACTGGCTCTGGCACAGGTTGGACCTGTACAAACTGGATGGGATACACTTGGGCAGGACTGGGGCTGATATCCTTGGGGGAATACTTGGTACCATGGTTGGGGAGGGTTTAAACTAATGCAGCAGGAGGATGGAACCCAGAGGAATAGGGCAGCAGAAATTGAGGGAGGGGTAGAAACCAAGACAAGCATTCTTCGGAGCAAGAACAAGCTGGGAAATGCTGCTGAAGAGAGCAGGGTAGGTGATCTGAAATGCATGTGCTTCAATGCAAGACGTATAATACGCAAGGTGGATGAATTTAGAGCTTTGGTTAGTACTTGGAACTATGACATTATTGTGATTACAGAGACTTGGTTGAAAGAAGACAGGACTGGTAGTTGAATGTCCCAGGTTTTAGATGTTTCAGGCGTGATCGAAAGGGAAGTAAAAGGGATGGAGGAGTTGCTTTACTGGTAAAGAAGTATCTCACAGCTGTCCTGAGAGAAGATCAGAGGACTCGTGCAGCGAGGCAATATGGGTAGAATTCAGAATAGGAAAGTTGAAATCACAATGCTAGGGGTGTGCAGCAGGCCAGCGGGAAATAGAGGATTGAATATGTAGACAGACTTTGGAAAGATGTTAAAACAGAAGAGTTGTTGTGGTGGATGATTTTAACTTCCCCTATATTGACTGAGACTCACAATGTCCTAGGGGCTTGGATGGGGCATAATTTATGAGGACCTTTCGGGATGGATTCTTGACACAATCTGTAAACAGAATAATCAGGAAAGGGATTATACTGGACCTGGTTTTGGGAAATGAGACGAGCCAGGTGAGTGAAGTTTCAGTGGGAGAGCATGTCAGAAGTAGTGATCATAACACGCATGTTTTAAAATACTCCTGGATAGGGATAACAGTAATACTCGGGTGAAGGTGTTAAATTGGGGGATGAAGTACAACAATATTAGGCATGAACTGGCGAGCCTTCATTGGAGGTGGCTGTTTGAGGGCATTTCCCACATGTGACATGTGGGAGTACTTCAAACAGCTGTTGATAAGAGTTCAGGAGCAGCAAATTCCTGCGAGAATAAAGGATAGGTATGGCAACTTATGTAAACCTTGGATGAACAGGGATATTATGACCTTGGTCAGAAAGGAAAAGGAAGCATACGTAAAGTCAGGGAGGATGGGAACTGATGAAGCCCTTGAAGTATGAGGAAAATAGGAAAGCTTTAACAAGGAATTAGAAGGGCTAAAAGGGGTCATGAAAAATTGTTAGCAAACGGGATTAAGGCAAATCCCAAGGCTTTTTATACATATGTAAAAAGCAAGCGGGTAGCCAGGGAAAGAGTTGGCCCACTCAAGGACAAAGGAGGAAATGCATGTGTGGAGCCAGAAGAGGTAGGTGAGGTCCTGAATGAATATTGTGTTGGTATTTACCAAAGAGGAGGAATTGGTGGAGGATGATCTCAGAGAAGGGAGTGTTGAATTTCTAAGCTAAGTTACTATTAAAAACGAAGAGGTATTGTGCATTTTAAAAATATTATGCTAGATAATTCTCCATGTCCTGATGGGATCTATCCCAGAATATTGAGGGAAGCAAGAAAACAAATTGCTATAGCATTGACAGGCAGCTTTGTATCCTGTTTGGTCACAGGTGAGGTCCTAGAGGAATGGAGAATAGCCAATGTTGTCCCATTGTTTAAGGAGGGTAGCAAGGATAATCCAGGAAATTTCAGGCCTGTGAATCTCACGTCGGTAGTAGGGAAATTATTGGAAAAGATTCTCAATGACAAGATCTATATGCATTGAGAAGCAAATGGAGTTATTAGTGGTAGACAGCATGGTTTTGTGCAGGGGAGGTCAAGCCTCACTAACTTGATCGAGTTTTTTGAGGAGGTGACAACGATGAATGATATTTTCTACATGGACTTCAGTAAAGCCTTTGGCAAGGTCACTCATGGCAGACTGTTACAAAAAGTAAAGTGACATGGTATCAGGGGTGAGCTGGCAATATGGATACAGAACTGGCTTAGTCATAGGAGACAGAAGGTAGTGGTGGAAGGTTGCTTTTTAGAATGGAGAGTTGTGACTACTGATGTTCCATGGGGATCAGTGCTGGGACCTGTGCTGTTCGTGATCTACATACATGATATGGAGGAAAACGTAGCTGGTCTAATCAGTAAGTTTGTGGATGATACAAAGATTGGTGGAGTTACAGAGAGTGAGGAGAATTGTTCGCAGATACAGCAGGATATAAATCAGTTGGAGGCATGTGCAGTAAAATGGCAGATGGAGTTTAATCCAGACAAATGTAAGGTGATGTCTTTGGAAAGTCAAGTACAGATGGAAATTATACACTGAATGGCAGAACCCTTAGGAGTATTGATATGCAGAGAGATCTGGAGGTGCAGGTCCACAGATCACTGAAGATGGCAGCACAACTGGATAAGGTAGTAAAAAAGGCTTATGGCATATTTGCTTCCATTGGAAGGGGCAAGGAAGTTGGAAGTTGTGCTGCAGCTTTATAGAACTTTAGTTAGGTCACACTTAGAATATTGCATACAATTCTAGTCACCACACTACCAGAAGGATGTGAATGCTTTGGAGAGGGTACAGAAAAGGTTTACCAGGGTGTTGCCTGGTATGGGAGATTTCAGCTAGGAAGAAAGGTTGGATAGACTGGGTTTGTTTTCACTTTAATGCAGGAGTTGAGAAGCGACCTAATCGAAGTTTAAAAGATTGTGAATGGCATGGATAAAGTAGAAAGTATGAGGCTTTTTCCCTGAGGTGGAGGGGTCAATTACTAGGGGACACAGGTTCAAGGTGCGCAGGGGCAAGTTTAAAAGAGATGTGCGAGGCAAGCTTTTCACACAAAGTGTGGTGAGTGCCTGGAACGCATTGCCAGAGGTGGTGATGGAAGCAAACACAACAGCAGCATTCAAGTTGCACCTGGATGAATACAAGAATAGGAAGGGAATAGAGGGATCCAGATCCTGTAAGTGAAGACAGTTTTAGTATAAAAGGGCAAAATGTGTCAGAGCAAGCTTGGACGGCCGAAGGGCCTGTTCCTGTGCTGTACTGTTCTTTGATCTTTTTGGTTGCCCAGGATTCACAGCCTGCCAATCTGAGATAGAAAACGTTTGGAGGTTCATTCTGTTCATTAATCCTCAATCTATGCCAGGTTTTTGCACCAATACTCAAATTCTGTTTACTAACCTCCTGCGTAGGATCTTATCAAAAGGCTTCTGAAAATCAAAACACACCAGATCAACTGTTTATCTCTTATCTGTTCTGCTAGTAACATCCTCAAAAATCTTCAATAGGGATGTCAAATATAACTTCACAGGCTCGCAGAACTCTTATGGTGCAGAAGATCAGGATCATGAATTTGTGAAAGGAAATTTACAAGAAGATTTCAGGAATTGCACATTTGAACTGTTCTCCCTGGAGAGAAGTCTAAGAGAAGATCTGATAGAAGTTCTCAAACTCATGAGTGTTTGGATTGAGTAGATAAACTGCATCTGCTTGCTAAAGGAACAAGATTGGGAGGGCATAAATTTAACGTGATTTGCAAAAGAAGCAAGGGTGATGTGAGAAATCATTTTCACACGGCATGTAGTTTGTGGATGGAGTATGCTCCCTGGAAGTGTGGCAGAAGCAGGTTTAATTGAGGCATAGAAGAGGACATTGGCAGATCATTTGGAAAAAAATGTAAAAGGGTATGGGGAAAAGCAGAAGGTTGGAAATAGATAATGATAGTCATTAGAAGAGACAGTGCTGGTATGATGAGCCAAATCCAGTTGTCATGGCCCATATAGGTACCAGCAATATTGGGCAGGGACTGGCCGAATGGTGTTATCTCTGACTGTTAATCCAGAGACCCAGATAATATTCCGGGGACCTGGGTTCAAATCCTGCCACGGCAGATGGTGGAATTTGAATTCAATAAAGTATCTGTAATTAAGAATCTAATGATGACCATGAATCCATTGTCGATTGTGAGGAAAAACCCATCTGGTTCACTAATGTTCTTAAGGGAAGGAAACTGCCATCTTTGTCTGGTCTGGCCTACATGTAACTCCAGATCCGTAGCAATGTGGTTGACTCTGGGCAGGTAAGGATGGGCAACACATGCTGCCCAGCCAGTGACACTCTTGTCCCATTAATGAATAAAGAAAACAAAAGGTAAAATGAGAAAAGAGGTTGCTAAGGGAATATAAGCAACTAGGGGCTAAATTAGAAAGCAGAACCAAAATGGTAATAACCTCTGGATTACTACCTGAGCCATAAACTAACTGGCATAGAATCAATGAGGTTGAAGAGGTAAATGTTGAATCAGAGATAGTAGGAACTGCAGATGCTGGAGAATCTGAGACAACAAGGTGCAGGGCTGGATGAACACAGCAGGCCAAGCAGCATC